AATAATGAAGGGACAAACAAAATGTTTGATTCATAAACAAGCATGCACGTGTCATTGCAATTTTGTTTAATTTGAAGAAGATTGGGGGGCCAACCTCACTCAGGTTGAATTTGCAGATGTTAGTACCAGATGGACACTGCCATCTACTGGATTAACAACATCACTACAACCTCAAATCATTGAATATTTCATAATTAAATCAGTCGTACTTTTTTCCAGGTTGAGGAAGAACTTGGGTTGCGCCGACGTGTCGATCAGACGTCGTTTGAGCTGTGGAGAAGCCGTAGCGCTCCCTCCACCTGTTGGTGTTTCATATTTAGACATCAGCAATCATGAATCTGATCATGAAAGAAAGAAGGTGGCGCGTTTTCCAACCTCCGCTGCTTCCCTCGGTGGGCCGATCTCCACCAGACGTGTTCCTGGTGGAGCGCCTGAGGGACTGGGACTGGGAGGACTGGTAGGAGATGCAGTCCATGTCGGGGTGGCGGCGGCGCTTCGGCGTGGGGGCTGGAGCCGTGGGCGTGGCGGCGGAGGTGTCGCTCAACGCCGGCTGGCTGTCCGTGGACTGAGGCGTGGGGGGGTTGTGAGCCGGTGGGCTCGGGCTGCGTTCTCGTTGGGCGCTGGAAAAGAAAAGAAAGGAAAGTTAAGAGTCACCCCGTCAACAGAGGGGAAATGTTTTGGTCAGAACGCACATACTTGCTGGAGCTGGGCGAGGTTTCGTTGACCGTGAGGAGCAGCCTGGAGGAGCTGACTTTCTTAAACTGAGCTTGTTCGCAGGGATAGAGGAGGATCATGGGTAAGGTGAAGTCAAAAGTAATCCTCAACCCATCGACCATTTCCTTACAAAGCTCCTCGCTGAAAAACAAACAAAAAGTTCACAAAAAAGCTGATTTCTTAACGTTAGTGGCGTCGGGGTCCTCACCTCCTCTCCGGGGGAATCGTCTGCGGGCTGCTGCTCTGCGTGGTGTTCTGCTGCCGCCGGTACCGCTCGTTTGCCATGAAGGCCTTGTTGATCGTAAAGTGCTTCACGTAGGACTCCAGGATGTGGACCACGTTGGTCTGACAGGGGACCATAACGAGCTGGAGAAGAGCGAAGGAGAAGCGTTAAAAGAGCAACAACCCTCCACAGAAACGTCGGCGAGGTCGAGCCGTACCTTCTTCCTCTTGTTGATGTAAAAGCAGTCATCTTCCAGTTTCTTCTTCAGAACGTCCGGGATGCTGATGTCCACATGGACCACCTTCTCCTCGCACTCTCGCTTCACATTAACCTCCGGCTCTACCCTCTTAAAAACACGAAAGGCGGATGAATACTTTGAAGCGCCGTGCCGAGAAAACCGCCCCGGCGGGACTCGTCACCATTTTGTTGACGTCTTCCGAAAAGGTGCTGTCGCCGCTGTTCGAAGAGTCGGGCTCCGAGTCGTCCCCTTCGCTGCTGTCCGAGGTCGAGATCAAACCTGACGGAGGGGGAGAGTAAAACTTTGAAACGATTGCAGACGGCAGTGGGAGATCGAGCGCCGCAGACAGAGTTCTCACACGCATCATCGCTGTCCTCCTCCTTTGGAAGAGTCTTCAGAGAAGATTTGTTACCAGACTGACGACGTCGCCGCTTCGTCCATCCCTTTCTCTTCCTTAAACCGCCGGGATGAAACGGAGCAAAATGAAATTCAGAAAGCTTATTCGCATTTTGAAATCTCTCTCCGGGTGATTAGAGCAAGAACTTACATGCGCCCCAGAGCTTTGCGAGCCAGCTTACGTTGCAATTTGCGGTTTTCCTCCGTGTCCCTTAGGACATGATCCTCGGCAGCCCAACGGTCCCAGCTGCAAAGATGCAAGCGTCAGTTTAATACAGAGAGAGTTAAAAGCTCAAAACATGAAACTAAATATGACGTGGTGAATATACTGTTACCTTCTGCTCCAACCGCTGAAATGAATCAGGTACTTTGGGACTCGTCTCCCATGTTCATCTGTACCTATCAAGACATCAAGGACCTGCAGGATCAAAAGCAAAACCTGTCAATCACCATGAAATTAAAGTTGAACAGTCACTGGTGAACAAATGTAAATCGGAGGTATACATTTACACATCCTTGTTTTTGGTTTTAGAGACATGAGGTTTCAGAATATTTCTGGTAAAAGTTGAATCTGCTTCATGAAGCATTCCCAAGCTGCAGATTTAGGCCTGTTATGAAACTTGTGCTCCAAGCTTCAGTCTATGTATCCTGATATTAAAGTAGATTCAAATTCTGGCTTAAGCTTTCAAAGTAGACCATCTTCAGTTTGGGAAGAAATTTACTGATATAAATGAACACTATGATATCAAAATTATGTATGCATCTGTATTACAATGGTATTTGATTAAAGAACTCAAAATAATACAAGGCATTAATAAGGCTTCTGGCAGAAAAATGCCAAAAGTACCTAAATATAGTATAATTAGCATTATTAATATAAAGTAGCAATATGTAGATATTTTATTTACTAGGTAATTTTTTTTTATTTTTTACTTTTAAGAATCTAACTTGCGCAAATCATTAGTAATTACAAGGTTATTTTAAATCAACCAGATTATCAAGGTACAAGCAGGGATGGAAGAAATCGGGATGCTAACCCACAGCTAGCTAGCTCAGATTAGCAAAATGCAAGATTCAAGCTGCTAATTTTCACAAAATGGTTGTCTCCATCTATTAAACAGCAATTTGCTTAGCTTATGGAAACGTTGTATGAAAAATAGTGAAATGCACGGCCGAATGGGACCTTTATTCAGCTACATAGCAAACTAAAACTTATATTAGCTGCGCAGTCGCGGTGAGTTTGTTTATTCGATGCTGACATTTAACAGCACTAAAGTCACGAGATAAATCATTATGACATTTTTTTTCAAAGACTATAACCAATGTCTGAGGTATTGCTCAAGTTGGAAGTTCTCCTCAAATGGACTCAACTGTGTAAAACTGCAATACTACAGCTTTGTTTACGTTTTTCTTTTTTTTAATAAACCCAAAATCCAGCTACAAACATGTAATCGAACGCACCCGGAAACCATGCGCTTATGCAAAGAGAAACAACCCCGGTAAATTAATACCAAGAATGCATTTTTTCTTATAATGGCCTAAGTCTCCTTTGTGGTCACTCGCGGCTCCACACTGCATAAAACAGCCTCGCTTTCCTTTTGCAAATGACTCCTCTTTAGAGGGTGTAAACACCGAATGGCAACGTTAGCTTGGTTAAAATCTTACCTTAGCGTCATACAAGACTTTAGCCTTGGTTGGGTCGGGTTCAAAGCACAAGACTCGTTCTCCTTTGTGAAACTGGTATTTAATTCCCCGCGAATTCATTTGTTCATGGCGACGTGTGGGAGAGAAGGCATCGATCGGATTCTTAAACACCCTTAACCCTTTCCTTTCCCTTTCCTATGTGGGAGTTTCTCAGCTACAGGAGCCTCTGGAAAAGATGGCGCTGTTGTGGGAACACGGGGCGAAACTTTACTGCGCTGCGTTCATAGGCAGCTGGAAATTTCTACACTCAGTTGTCAACTCTAACATGTTTGAAAATACGCATTATGGTATTTTTATATGTTTTTAAAAAATGGTTTTAATTCCAAAGTACCTTCTTTAGAAAAAAAAAACAACTACGATTCAATGATTACCGCTAAAATCAGTCGCAGTCTAATGAATTTTGACGTTCCGCGCAGACGCGAAGGCAGCAGGAAACACTGCTTGAAAACTGCGATTTCAAAACCTAACCAGCAGATGGCAATATAACACGGGAAAAGTTCAAGACGCAACCAGAGTAATAAATAATTAGTCTAACTTTAAAAAAATATGATTCTATATATTATCTACATAAAATTAACCTGATTGTGTCATAAAGTGCCTGGAGATGGCAACTGTTATGAATGTATTCTATTGAAATAAACAGATTTCAGGCAAACTGAATTGAGCTGCAATTTTTTTTCTTTCCCAAATTGATAGTCAGCATCAATAAATTCCTGAAATGTTTTTCTTTCTTCCGCTATGCAAAAGACAATGTTTATCTAAATCTACAGCTTCTGCATTTCGCCCCCCGCCCCCTTTCAAACTGTTTTTAGAAGGGTCAAATCTATCTCAGTTGTTATCAGTGTTGTGTGCATGTGAAAGTGTCATGTGTTGCTGTTTCAGGAGCTCCCTCAGGGCTCCTGCTATTTCCTTTCAATTTTATCATATTTTTAAACCTTTTAATATTTGATCATGCTTCAAACAAAAACTTTGTTTATAAGGATTTTATGTTTATCTTCTCAAAGAAATGCGTAATTCTGAAGTGGAATGAAAATGAACATCGTTCTCAAAACTTGCATATCATCTCCACTGTGAAACATGGGGGTGGCAGCATCATGGTGTGGGGATACTGTTCATAGCCAGGTACAGTGAAGATGGGTGAAGCGAAACATAGGTACCCCAGTGACAAGAAATTTCTAAATGTTGATAGATATCTGTTTAAAAAGTTGTCTGTCGTTTTGAAAGTCATGTGACATGTGCTAAACGAGTTTTATTTTACCGTCTTGAGAGCAAAATGACTCTTTAGGTTGTAAAAGTTGCAGACCCTCTGCTGTCCTGCAACTTTGCATCCCTTCTCCAGCACCTGAACCTAATTAATGACTTCTTAAAAGTTACAGGAAATGTGATTCAACTTTTTCATACAGGGGGGAATGGATACAACCTTTTTTTTTTAAACTAATTTTCTAATTGACGTTCGCATCAATCTCTCATAATCAGTCCCCCCCCCACACCCCCCTACAAAAAATTATGTTTGAGGTTTTATTTACACAACATAAAAAAGTATAAATGCAAGGCAGCACGCATGAGGAGAGGAAGAGCCATTAATCCCAGTGCTCACTTATTGTTTGGCTAATTTTAGAACACAGAAGGCTTCCCCTGACAGGTCTACCGTTACCAGACAGATGGATTAATAGGAGAGGAGGATTAATACTCCTATTTTCATATCAGCTAAATCATGGATGTGCCTGTGCGTGACCTACTGTCTGTCTGATGACTCCATACTTACTTATAAACTGCACAAATTTAGTTTTTTTTTTTTTTTTTAATTATTTCAGAGGATGAGGTTTTGGATCGTTTTATTTTCCTGCAGTTTAAAAGTGAAAGTTCAACACTGGCTAAAACACAGTTTTCTGACCACCTCCCCTCTACCCACAAGCCCCACGCACGCCCATTCCTCAGAAGACGCACACGAGAGAGTTACACTTGATCAGTCTTTACGCAGCTCTCCATGGGCTCTGCGTTCAATGGAGCGCCTCTGAACTCCAGACTTTTACTCGCTGGGGAGGCTTTAGAAAAGCTGTTGGGCTGATCCAAAGTTGAGGCGACATGTCGGCCGCGCAGGGACTTCTCAACAGCGTCTTTTCCTGCTCCTCTCCTGCCTCCAAAGCAATAGCCAAGAGGAGGCTGCGCCAAACCCGCAGCCTGGACCCGGCTATCATACGGCACTGTGGGACCGGGACCGATGGGATGAGCGGGGCGCAATTTGCGGCCGCCGACGCAGGTGCGCCGTCGGGTGCGAAGCCGGCTTTGCGCGCCAGGATCCCGACGCTGAAAGAACCCATCACGCCGTCGGTCTCCTCCCCATCCATACCTTCGGACGTTTCTCCTTCCTCCAATTTCCACTTCGACTATGATATCGCCAAGCGCCCGAAAAGGAATACCGCGGGGGATTTACCGTTTATGGTGAGGGGAGCCGGCGCTGCGCAGTCGGGGAGCACCGGCGCGCTCTTCTCGCCGCGGAGGTGGCTGCAGAAGAAAGTTCAGCCGACCTGCCCTCATGCGTATGTCGTGTGGAAATCGGAGGTAAGACAAACCAACAATGGTGCATTACAAGTTTTGTCATTTTTAAAATGATTATTTTAAAGGGGGAATTAGTTAACTACATGCTTGAATTCTTATGCCTGCTTGGTTGATGATATTGTCCTAATTTGCAAAAAAAAAAAAAAAAAGATACTTTTCTCCTTTATCTTTTTGTCCATGATATAACTACAAACCTTAGGATATTTTATTGGGGTTTTATGTAACAGAGCAACTCAAAGGAGTGTGCTTATGAGGTAGAAGTAAAATGATACTTCTAATTTTCCCAAATAAGAATGCCTTCATTAGAACCATCTTCGCTTCCATTTTGCATGTAAAGGAAAAGCATCCCTTCTGCATGATGCAGCCACCACCATGCTTCACTGATGGAAAGGCGGGTTTAGAGTGATATGCATTGTTTGTTTTCTCTCTCAGTGCTTTTAATCTGATTAGAGACTCCCCTCTCCCATTTGTTTGCCATGTCTCCTTGCGTGACTTGTAGTATTGTGATATATATATATATATATATATATATATATATATATTCCTTATTTGTCATCCAGTCAAAAAGAAATTCTCACACCAAAGCTTTGTAACTCTGCATCTGAAGCAGGTCAAGCAGATCAGATCAAAAGTGAAGCTAATTGCACTGGGTTAGCTATCATAGCTTTATTTAGGGGTAACATATTACTTACTAAAAAGCACTCCACATTTCTAAGAACTGTTTTCAAAACAAAACAAACTGAAAAAACTCGAAAGCCACGCACCACTGTACTTCCACCTCACCATTTTTGCACTACTCTGTGTTGGTCATCACATAAAATCCCAATAAACCACATTAAACTTGCGCCTTTGAAGAGACAGCATGTAAGGAGGCACTTTTCCGAGCCACTGTACCTGTGGGAAAGCATAAGAAAATGACCCAGGAGCTTTTAAGGATTAAACCACTCCAACAAAAGGTGCAATGAAGTGCAGTTAGTTTCCCCCCTGCTGCTGCCATCATTGACTTTGGGGAACCTTTTGTCTTCATAAGAACCTCAAACTGAGAGTGAATGAAGCCCAGGCAGGTATGAAATCCTAACCAAAACATACTTGGTTGACTTATTTTAAGTGAACTAGGAGGGGGGTGCTTTACTGGCTGCATACTTGGCAGGAGTCCACTTGCACTGGTGGAAAGGTATGATGATTTTACTCCTTTTTATAAAGAAATTGAGGTGTTTTCTTTTTCTGCTCAGGTTTTGTTGTCCCTGTGCTGAGGGTGGAGGCGTGTGTGTGTGTGCATACACGCAGCGCTCGTTTCAGGGTCTGAAAAGAAAGTTCTCACGACTGGGATGGGGGTCACGGGGTCAAGAACCACATGGCCCATGTTCAGCTCTCCCAGCAGCATTCGCTTCATTCCCTGATCTGCTTCTCTTGCAGCGTGCCTCTGTTGCTTGTTTACACACACGTGCATCCGCTCTCTGGATCCCACTATGGAGCAATAAGTGTATTTTCCATGTAGTTTCACCCCCACCCCTCCCTTCCACATAAAGGCCCACCAAGGGTAGCATGAGGCCATCAGCATGGAGTCATTGGTCCAATCCAGACCTTAAAGTTATTGCACCTCAGGGTTTTCATAAAAATCCAGACCCAAGACGTTGCTGTTGGTGTGCTGGGATGTGTTCCACTCTGCTGGCTGTGGAGAAAAAATTATTGCATAAAGGATAAACGAAGATGGTCATAGAGAGAATTGTCAAATTTGCCCAATTAGGACATGCATGCAGGGCCTATTTAAGAGAAAGGACATTCTGTCTTTGCAGCTATACTAACACAGGGGGTGCCAGAGACGGCTGTAATCTGCATACCAACGTTGTTTTCAGCTCTAGTGGAAGCTTGCTCTGTTTGTTGTAATGCTGTCTGCTCATCGGGGAAACTTTGGTCCAGGTCCAAGTGATAGCGTAGGAATGAGTGTGCCAATCCAACACCATTTGTCCGTACCTGCAGTGTCTAGATCTCTCTGGGAAAGAAACGGGCACCAATCGTCTTATCAAAAAAAAAAAAAAAAAAAAAAAACGAGTTTTGAAACTCTAAGATGTACTGCTGGAATCTGAAATTCTGAATAATCCCGACCTATATTTTTTGTATAGTTCTTCCAAAACTACCAACAAAAGGTGAAATATAACATAAGAGATGTTTAACTGAGTCGCCCATCCACCTCACACTGTAGGAATGTTGTTTGCTAACTACTAACTAACTGCTGCCTTAAGAGTCAGAACTCTTATCTGGGAATTAGGACAAATAAAATCGTAAAATCCATCAAAAAAAAAAATTTGTATCAATGTACCGCACCTGCAAAAATGAGAACATAATAAAAAAGTGTTAATTCCAGTAAATAATTTGAAAAAGTGAAAGTTATGCATAAACTTGTCATGCAGAAACGTTATGGCAAACCACAAAAGTTAACTGCTAAAGAAATTGGTTCACAGAATGCTGTATCCAAGCATATCTATGGAAAGTTTAGTGGAAGGAAAATGTCTTGTAGATGAATGTGCAAAAGGAACATAGATAAGCAGAGTACTGCCTGCATTATCAAGAGTCAGTACTTTTAGAGCCTCCACACCCAGACATATCCATGATATTGATTGTAGTTTGTTTCGAGTTGCTGGTACGTTACTTCTCTTCTTGCCTTTTGTGCTGGCAAATGTAAACATTTCATTTTTCTAGGGTTCAAACACAAAGAAACAAACCACTGTTATGAAACATGCCCCATTAACCTACATGAATTCTTTTTGATGCACCCAAGTTTTGTTTATTGAACCTGTACTTTGGAGAAGGGTATAAAATTTGCAGTGCTTCCAGTTAGGGATAAAGCAAATTAATTTATATCTCTGTCTCATCTTCTGTTTTTCCACGTGATTCCAAAAATGACATGACCTTCTGGGGATTTAAGTTCTGCGGTTAAATGAATCAAAATGATTGAGTTCCTCATCTATGCCAAGTGTTCAAGAGTTGAATCATCAGCAGTGCAAATAGAAGGTTCAACACATAATTTAAAGGCCTTGATGAAAGCAAAAACCAAGTGTGAACATTTGTGAGTATGACAAAACATTATTGCCACCTCCTGGCATGTATATTACACTTTTTGCAGCAGATATATTTTTTCACAGGACCAACGATACAAGTTCAGCTAACAAAACTAGCATATCATGAGAAAGTTACTTTTTGTATTTCATGTCAGAAAGTGAAACTCAGAGTAAAACAGAGTATTCTTACTGGATTTTTTTTTTTTATAGTCGAGCATTTCTGAAATGCTGAATTATGAGTGATAAAGAGTATTTATTATTTTTAACTGGAAATGTAGTAGTGTTTGGGTATCATTGTTTCAGATTTAAACATGTAGTTAACTTCCAACAGGGCTTGAATGTGATCGATGAAGGGAAAACCCTGAAATTTGTCACTACTATGTGATATATGACCACATTGGCATGACCCGTTTTCCACTTTTAAATATTTTTCCCCCAGACAGTGACGTCCATGTCTATTTCAATGACATTGAAACATACTTAAAAGCTTATTTCTTCCTCATGAATGAAGCAAAATGAAGAGCAGAAGTCCAATACAAGCAGAATCTGAATTCCAGCAGAGATTTTTAATACGCAGTTGGTTTAAGTCAGCGAATTACTATCCAAACATTTGTTGAATGAAGACCCCATTGTAAATTCTTGAAAGGTATACACTGTAAATTGAGAGTGTACTCTTCATAAGGCAACCTGCCCAGATTTGTATCGCCTCATGCCTTTTTATGGAGAGAGACGAGGGCAGAGAGGCAGAGAGAGAAAGAGTTGGAGAAAGAAACACAAATGAAGGCATAATGGTTAGAAGAAAACAATGTCTGTCAGGTATGCTGCCAGTGATGGATCTCAATTGTTGCATTTTTCTATGTTGGAAGACCAATGATGTGAAACCATATATATATATTTTTTTAATACCACACAGTGATTAGTAGTGATTGGTTGTGACAACACTTGCTCTTGTGAAATAGCTAACAGATAACAGAACGGGTGATTTTGAGAAGCTGGTGAGCGCTTGCCAACTCCAAACTTTAGTCTGTGAAGAATATCCTGAAGCTACTGCTAACTTTCCTCACTAATGATATGCACACACAACTCCACACACCAGAGGGAAAGCCGTGGTCCTCTAATTGAATCCTGACTGTGGAGCACCAGATGTTGACATTGTACTTCTAATTTTAGGTCTACGGCACTAACCCTAATGCTTCTGAGAAGAGACTCCATGATGGAAATTATTCAGAAAGAAAAATCTTTGCAATTTGAATACATTACTTATTGAGTGGTGATCGTATTAAGGAGATATAAATATTCAAGACAAGGGCTTTAAAAAATGATTTGCCCTGATACAGATTACTAAAAAGTCATTTTCACATTTTGTACAGCCTGCACAAAGCTAAATACTCTTAGCTATGCAAGCTAATAAAAACATATGCATTAAAACACTAGAAGGAACTTTTTATGCAAAAATAAGAAGTGTGAAAAAGTCAAAGAAACAGTTAATTACTGCAGTTTGTACGGTGGCAGCCATGTTGGATTCTAAACTGGAGATTTCCTGGGTACATCAGATAATCCCAGCCAGAACTTCATTGTCAGCTGATTTTTCAAACTCTAAGCTCAGAAGTGAACACTTACAATTAAAATGATCTCACTCACTCATTTCCATTTGCATGAAATCAATATTCTTTTTAAGCTGCCTTCATTTCTTCTAACTTTTTCAGTTTACCTATTACCTTACCTATACTTTTAATCATCGTTACGTTGGCTGAAGCTGTCATGCACCCAGCTGTAATGATGCCTACTTAAGTGGAGCCTTATGAAGCAGCTAGCACTGCAGTAAATCCTTGGTTTTATCTTTATGGTCCAGTCTCACTGAAATATCTCTGGGAGTGACAACTCCCTTCAAAGTCATTTTATTCTGTGAAACGTGAGCTCTGGAAATGCAAACATAATCAACTTCAACATTTAACCATCTGCTTTACTACTAGTAATAAAGAAGAGCATAAATAACATTTTTGAGGTTTGAAATTTGTCTGTTGGAGCAAATATTAAGGATGCATAAATACAAGAGACGCACAAAACATTTGTGGAATAATAATGACAGTGCCATGACATTCAGTCACATTGGAGGATTTTCAATGAATTGAATTGAAATCTAAATACTTTGACTAGATCACATTAAAGCTTTTATTGTGTTTTTCTTTCTTCAGAGGTCAGCATGCTCCTTTAGGTTTAGGCGGTAGGACACAATTTATGGTCCCATCACATTGTTAGCCATCAAACAAGATGTGCTTCAGCAAATTCAAGCTTGGTCTTGGGCTTTGGACCTCTCCTTAATACTTGTACTGTAAATTACGGGCAATGATTTGTTGCTTTTATAGATTTTTCAGGTTACTCCGTGCTTTCAGACAGGTTCTGTCTAAATGATTCATTCATTCCACAGGTCTGGTAGTAATCAGGTATGTCGAGTGAAACAGAACCACAACGTTGTGGTTAATCAGCGCCAATTCCTTATTTTATCAAAATGAGCTGTGATATTTAGCATAAAAACCGTTTGAAATGATCATTCGATGACTGCTTTTCGTCTTTACTCTTGTTGTCTTTGTCTGACCTGAAACATTCAGTTATGACGGAATAAAAATATTTTCACATTATTCTCCAAAATGAATAATCAGTATTTACCTAAATGAGAGTTTGTTGAGCCATTAAGTATTCTTAATTAATCCAGTTCCATATAATGCATAGTTATCAACATCCGTTGATTTCAGCTTCATTTAACTTAGAAAGTCTGATTTTCAACAATGCACTCCAAAGTCAATCTATCTCATCTTGTAATTAATTCCTGTCTCAATTAAAAGCCCTTATTAGTCCAGTCACGCTAATGAAATGGTTCACTAAAGCAGGACAAGAACCTGTAAGTCGAGGCTACATTTACAAGCAGCTGATTCTTGGACAGACTTCAGAAACTAACGCTTGAACTTCTGAACCCAACTGCTGTCCATTTTGCCTTTCCTCCCTTATTTCCTCCCTGCGTTCCCTCAAAATGATGAGGCTGCGTTGGAGGAACAAGGCCTTCGCAAGCCGACATCTGTGGAATGCTTATGGCGAAAAACACCCCAAAAAACAATAAAATCAGATAAGGATAGGTGGTTCAGCCAAAATTCGGAAAACTTCACTGATTTTGACACGCTTGCTTCTTCTTGTGGATTGTAGATTTCTGCTGCATCAGAATCCGGTCGTAGATCACAGGATTTAGTTCAAGGAGTCGAGGATAGGATGTCATCACTGTGTTGCAAGGGCCACCATATTTGTGAATACTGAAAATATGATGAAATACAGCTCGATTGTGTTGGCTTAAGATGAGGACTGGGGAACCTTATAGAGCTGCTTTAAAGGCAAAGTCAGACCTGACAGCTGTGGGACTCAAGTTTAAAACTGCCAGATAAATCTTAAGATTGTTGCACATCACATTTTAATGTTTTAAATCAAACCATTATATATATAAAAAGAATCAGCCTCACTTTTTTCATGTAGTTTCAACAGCCTTGTAAGTTCATAATAGCTAAGAGAAGCTATTAGGAAAATAGAAGCTAAGAAATGATTGATAGATTTTTTTGTGTCTAATCTATGGTTTAAATGGACAGTCAAGCTAAAGTCTGCTTTGCCAACTGCAAATTTATCCAGAGAAAATGATGAAGTACACCGGTTTTAGTGTGGCATGATAAGTTTAGAGAAGTATCAAATCTTACTGGTTTGGGAAGTTGTTGGTTTAACAGCAGCCTCATATTTTTGACCAATGAGCCAATCAGATAAATTAAGTAGCTTAGAGAATGAACTTGCTATTTTGAGGCCATTACAGGATGATGAAATCAGCTTGTGTCCGAGAAGGACTCTAAATATATTATATAAAATGTGCGTGGAAATATGTTTTGTGTCTCGTCTCATTTGTGCTCTGTAACTGAATCCCTCTCAGGGCCGCTTTTTTTTTTTTTTTTGGAAAAGTTTCCGCGATACGCTGCTGAAGAGAACCATATGAATCAGCAGGGTTTGTTTGGCACTGTTTTGGTTCTGAGCGAGCTCACGTCTCCTCTGGGATGTTTTCTCAACAATGAAGGCAAAAGCGAGCAGCCTGAAATAGAGACGGCTGTAAAGTAAACATTAATTTCCGTAGTCAGAATCTGTCTGTCTGTTGTCGATTAAAGTTCTCCTTTGGTTCGAAATCTGCAGTGTTGAGTTACTATTTGTTTCGATAAATGCACATATGGGTGACTTGGAAGAGAATCCAAAGCCAGTAGGTGGATGATCCAATTGTCTATAGGCTAGACGTTTATCCCTCGTGTGTATTTCGTGTGTGTGTATTACACAGATGCTAATGTTCGCTAATGTGCTCTCTAATCTGGTTTGTCATGGCTCAGAGGGGGTGTAGGGATATCATGCAGTCATCTGAGGCTGTGTATAAACTGTGCTGATATGACACACATACCGAGTGAAAGTGTTTCGTAACATCTCAAAACACACTTGAACTAATCTGGGGAAAGATTAACTGACTAAATGATTGATTTAGGTAATCTCCACACAAATACTTCATTCGCAAATTCTTTTCGTGCGCCTCTTTACGTTGCAGCTTGACGTTGGACTATAAGGGTCTGGCACACTTTGGAACACTGGAAACTCTTATTATTGCTATTGCAAT